AATTTGCTTATTACATCAACAGGGATGCAAGTGGAAAATTCATGACTGCAAATAACCCACCAGTTTAAATGAGCACAGCTGGCAGCATCAGCAGATTCCACTTACGAGGAGTTCTCAACAAAGAACCTCTGGAAGAACAGAAATGTCATACAGATTAAAATTTTTAGGATCATTTATATGATGGGTATTTTTTCATGTATCTTGAATCCTTCAGCCTTTTAGCTGACATTACTCTGGAACATCCCTGCAATTACATCAAAAGTTTCCAGTGTATTTAAGAGAAAATCTGCACAGAATGGTGGGGAACTGGGTAAAGGGCATTACAAAATACAGATGTAGGTCATTGAGAAGGGCACTAAGGTTGCAGGAACTAACTTGCAAATACCCAAACACCTGTTGAATTAGGAGGTATCGAAAGTGCTGTTCCACTTGGACATTATTGGGATCAATGTCCTTTTCTGCTCCCATGCAGAATGCAGACACACACATTTGCAAAGAAAATGTCAGCACAAGACATGAAGATTCAGTGTTTTATTCATTAAGAGTACTGATCTGAGGACACTCAGACCAGTTACCAGTCAGTTATCTTGGTGTAAGAAATGTGTAGCACAACTTTGATTAACTGGCCAACAAAAATTGTAGGCTTGTGCTTTCTGAGGCGAGAGCAACCATGTTATTATTGAGGGATATTGTACAATTAAATTACTACTAATAATAGTTGGGTACACTTGAATTTATTTGTTTATTTATTGTCTTTTAGGGCTCTGAGTGAATTAGCCTGTTGTTCGATCATTAACTTTTAAATAAATGACTCACCTTCTTCAATTATCTCACACCCACAGGGGAATGTAAGAGCCCTCCTAAGATGATGAGAGGAAGCTTGAGGAAGAAGATTCCCTCAGAACCCAAGTTATAAAAAGAAATAGCTGCAAAGCTGAGAGCTGATCTGCTCTTGCCCATTGGTTCTTACCTAGGAATCTGGTATTAGGCTGTTGGAATCAGAGCTGAAAGCAGGAAGCTTAGTGCTTCACATCATTAACGTTGTGCTTCTGTAAAGTGGTTTGATTAACTAACTGAGCCCATTTTGATTTAATACAGAGATTTAGCACTTTCTTTTTTACAGGCAAGGTGCCTATGCACTATACACACAATAACTCAGGAATATAGTGATCATCTACTTATTTGAGCTAGATATAAAATAGTTACACAAGAAATGGAAATTTTAATTAGTGTAATGTTCAAAAAGTGGGTAAGAGAAACATTTAAAACTAATCTGGTTTTCAAAAAGTGTAACACCTGTAAGTCTTCATGCTTTGTGGAGTAACTGAATCATTAGAGCTACAAAGGCCTGTCTGACTAAAAATGATACAAATAATCTGTACAATCAGGGATGAAGAATCGTGTCTCCCTATGAATTGCCAGTGTTACATGGGACATCAAAGCACGTGGACCGTGAGTCCTAAGTCACGAGTGACATTTMTTAGCAAGAACAAGAAATGTTTTGTGGGAAAGCGTCTAACACTCCCAAATGTCAGAGAGAGACTCAAGTGCCTGCAGTGTCCACGAGGATTTTCTAGCACATGCGTTGGTTATTCTTACGTGGTGCCATCATTGCATGTGTCCTAAAAGTCTCTAGAGGGCAAAATGCACCCTGTTGGAGAACCAAACTAGACTTGCATTGCCTATTTCTATTTTGATATATGATTATTTTTTATAGTCTGTGAACAGCTTCTCTGATACTTACTTTCTTAGACATGGTTACTAGGAAGATATTACTATTGCAAAATTATATAGGAAATCTTCACTGTGAAATAGAGAGGTTTACCAAAATGAAGATGGTGGAGACTTTCCCAATGCAAGACAATGAGTGAGACAAGGAGCTCTCCAAATCAGCTCTCCTATCTCTTCTGCTATATGTTAAATAACCAGGCTTCCCACTGCTAAGTTCATTAGGTAGCACAGAGGGGAAAAAAAAAAAAAAGGCCATGATCTGACTAAACTTTGAGGTCAAAATGGGGAAAAGAGGACACATTTCTTTCTGTCAGAGCTTGATAGGTACATTTAATGGGAAAGGGCTGAGTACTGCTCCAGTAGGACTGACAGGACCCTTTTCCACACTGCTGGGCATGAAACAGAGGCACAAGCAGGTTTGCCCTGCTGGAAACTGCTCTCCAGGTCTTTGTAGTAGTAAGGCAGTAAGCAGGGGACATTAGTTTGCATTTTGACTCCCAGGAAAAGACCAAAAGCTCCTGTTTTAAGGAGATACTGTACCAGCAGTTTCTCTTTTCTGTGCAGTAGCTGCTTTCCAGTGAGCACTGCCTATTTATTTCTCCCTCAGATGTCAAGATTGATGGTCCTGCAGTACTATTTTTCTGCTGCTACTCTTTTCACTGCAAAATCTCCCAGCAGACCATCATGGGACTAAAAAGATTTGCAGGATGGTATAATGGTGACTTGATGCTTTGGGAGTTTTTTTCATATGCTTGATGCTATGAAATTATTTTTGAGATGTGCAGAAGCTTTCTTATTAGTGAAGCAGGCGTGGGTAATGTTAAGAGAATGTATGAGGAGTATACGGAGTGGAAATAGGTAATGCGTAGCTTGGAAGAAAGAAGTCAACTTGGTCCAGAGCAGTAGAAGAGAGGAGAAAATGGATGTGCATTAAAAAAAAAAAAAAAAGAAAAAAGAAAAAAAAGTGGGTTAGTTGTTATAAATTGTGCTACTTGGGAGTTTCCAGTACTCTCCTATGAGCCAACTTCAATAAGATGAATTAAAAAAATACAGGTAGGACATTATACAGAGCTGTTGGTATCAATCAATGGAGCTTGTCTCGGATGAGGTCAAGAAGAAAACAATTTTCTCTCAGATAGCTTCCTTGCCATTTTATTTTTAATATGTTCTATTTACATATATATATTTGTAAGTGTATATAAATTATATCATAAATATCACATGTGACATTTATACTTGCATTGCATATGTATCATATTTAGATATATTTATATCATAAATATATATATACACTTCTAAATATACCACATGCTTTTATCCTGTAAAATGCGGGAATTACATAGAGTAAGAAAAAAAAAATAAAAGGAAAATAGTCTTAGCAGTAAAGGGCTCAAAACTTGTAATTTCTAAAGTCACATGCAAAGGACCTAATACTGTGAGAGTATGAGATAATCAAGATTAGGCACAAGTTGCCTGTTGAATACTAGAAATGTTATTCGCATTTATAAAATATTCAGGACCTTAACTCGAAGGTCTGAACACTCTGTAGCAGCAATGCTCCCAGTTCGTTGTAAGCCCCAGAGGAGGAGCTATGGATTCCCTACTGCCTAAAATCTACTGGTATTAAAAGAACTCCAAAGGGAGTTCTCCCAAGGATATTCTAGCAAGAAAAAAAAAATGGTGAGTTCAATAAGTTTTGGAGACTGATGTCCTGAAGTTTATGATTCCACAGGACTYCAGGTAGGATGCTCATGACTAGGCAAGGGCTCCTTACGTCAGACTGCTATAGCCTCTGGAGCAGAATAGGTCTGCACTCCTCTTTCTTCAAATTTATCCTTGAAGTCAAGATAAGGCAGTAAACTATCTTAGTCTGTTACTTCTCTTTGCAACCCAGTGGACTCCGTTGTGCCTGTTCCTCCTTGCAATTTTAAAAGAAATGGGCTGTTAAGAGGGGTGGTTGGCTGTTGTTTGTGGCATCTATTTGCTCCCACTAGCTCACCCCAGTTTGTTTGGCTTAGATAGCTCAGGTCTTCTAAGCAACATCATTAAGATATTAAAAGGGATATTATAATCAGAAATAATGAGGTTGAGTCAAAATTACTTTGCTCTCAGCTTTGCTGCTTTAATCCATCTTTTGAACAGATTCTCACTGGAGGGGTTTTGTGCGAGTTTCAACTTATTTTGTTGTTTTTCCCCGGTTGGTGCTGTCTAATGCAGCTGGCGCTGAAGTCATTGAAAGTTTGATCATTGACTTTCATGAGGGAAGTCTCAGGATCTGAGCGTTTGAGATGGAGAGGGAGAGGGTACTTAGCAGTACTCAAGCAAAGATCTGACTAAATCAACGGGAGTTTTGCCACCTCCCGAAAGTGCAAGCTGGCACTCTGTGCCCAGTGCTCCCAAATGCTAAAGGATGAAAGCAAAACAGACCAAAATCAACATGTTTTGCTCCATTCAGACTGCCTGACAAACACATGTTTTTTAAACATGTTTTCTGAACAAAAAAACAGACCTATTTTGTAAAGATCAAAAAACCCACCCATTTTTAAAAACAGAAAATCTGAGGCATTATTATTACAGAATCTTAGTAATCATAATATACTAACTTAAAATGAGTTAAAAGGTTGTTTTCTTTCATACTTTTTTCATACTTTTTTTTTTCTTTCATACTTTTTTTTTTCTGTGTAGGCTATATGTTACTACCTTCAGAAAGATAACCTTTTTGAAGACTTCTTTTTCTAGATGTGTCCTTGTTTAAGCATTGAATTTAAGGAAAAAGTATGCTAAAACAAGCAAACAAAAAAGTAGAGACACATCTTATGAAAATGGCATTTACATTATTATACAGTGCTTTAGCTGTAGTATCAGTAGAATATTCCTCCAAGTAAACAAGAAAAAGCAAGGTACAGGTAGAGGTATATAGAGATATAAATATTTATTAGATATTCAATATATTGACTTTTTCTGGGAATTACCAAAAAAAAAAAAAAAAAAAAAAAAGTAGATTGAGGCATGGGAAGTGGACATTCATTTTCAGGAGTTTCAGGAATGTTTTGACCTGGGATAGTTAGGTCTCAATTCCCGTGCTTGCCGAGTGTCCGGTGTTGCTGCCAGCGCTGGATCCGTGCGGCTCCTGGGGCGGCTGCGGAGCCGTGGGAAGGCCGGGCAGGATGCGGGCGGTGGTGTGGGCCTATGAGTGTGCGCACATATGTGTGTGTAGACATACGTGTGTGTGTGTGTGTGTGTGTGGATATATGTGTGCAGGGAGCCTGATGGGGCACAAGGGATGCCTGCGCATCCTGCTGGTCTGCGAGCTGGAGGTCTCACTTGGTCCTGGTCCTGGTGCTGGTCCTGGTGCGGGTCCTGGTCCTGGTGCTGGTCCTGGTGCGGGTCCTGGTGCTGGTCTCACCAGCCCAGCGCCAGGCTCAAGGCAGCGGGCGAGGGACACGTCCCGCGAGCCGAGGTGCAGCTGGAGGCTGCAGCTCCCCTCTGCAAGGGGACAGAGTCGCTACAAACGGGGGTCTTCACAGCCGTGGGCTGAGGAGGCTTTCGGGCTGTAAAGGGTCATGCACGGCAGCTCCCGCTGGAAGGGCTGCGGGGAGGCTTCTCTCCTGGGAACAGGCTGCAATTAAGATCAGAAACAGGGAGAAGGAAATAAAATAAAAAGGAGGGCAGGGGTACAAGCTGAGGGAACAGCAACAACAAAAACTTGGTGTTTTGTTTTGTACTCTAAAGATTATGGAATGCTTTTGGAAACTTTTTATTATTATTATTATTATTGTAATTTAAAGGTAAAGCTAGATAGGCTTCTGAAGGACAAASTGGAGTACGTGCATGATTTCCCTGGGATTTCCCATAGCTCAGTCAAGTGAAATACGTAACTTTTTCAGGACAAAGTGAAATATATCAAATTAAATTCGATTCCAACTCCCCTTCCTTTGCCTAAAGAGAATGATCAGTGCAAAAAGTAGGAATCGATCAGGTAGATAACGTTTCTGTTACCAAAGGGGCTCAAGGTCGCTTCCCATGTATCATTCCTTGTATATCTATGTAGTGGGAATTAGCCATTCCTTGAAGCATTAATACGGGAGAACTAGAATAATGTGTTTTAAACTCACGTATCCTAAATACACGTTCAGATTAGCTTTACTTTTTTTTTTTTTTTTTTTTTTTTTTTTTTTTTTTTTTTNTTTTTTTTTTTTTTTTTTTTTTTTTTTTTTTTTATCCTCCGAGTCATTCACTTCTCACGAAAAGCCCCCCAACGGCTTCCAGTTCCAGCTCTCCGTTACTTTCAGCACTTCAATATATTCATTGCTGGGTGAAGCAGACTTGAGACGGGGGGTCTCCCTAGGCGGAATCCATCGCAACAAAAACAGCAGCAGCAGCAACAGCCGCCGCTTCCAGCCCCCGACTGTATCCTGAAAGGGAAACGGGTCTGGGGACAGGAGCGAAGGTCCCTCCACGCCGTTCACCGGCACGAGAGACCCTCTCCGGGGCTCGCCTGGCACCCTGGCACTGCAGATATTTGAAATTTCGCCTCCCCAAAGGCGAAAAGCGGCTCTCGGCGTTTGACCTTGTTTTCGCTCGGACAAAAGCGTCTGTGTTTGTTTTTAATGCAGTACCTTGAAAGAAATAAATGCCTAATACAGGTCTGTTGTTTAGTGAAAGTGCGGCTTTGGTTTTCTGAAGATTATTAAAATAAATAAAAAAAAGTGACATGTAGGCATTTAAGGAAAAAAAAACTTTAGGAAAGTTTAAGGCAGGAATTTAATTGCGGGGAGTTTTTTTTTTCCCGTGTTTTTCTAATGAGTAATCGAAGAGGTGAGATTCGGCGTTTAAAATAGCCTTTTTTTAAAGCTCTTTAAGAACCGAATAAGCTGATTTTGCACTCCTCGACGGCGCTGTGCACTGAGCGCAGAGCCGCCAGCCGCGGCTCCCAAACGCAACAGAAAACGCGGACGGACACGGGGCTCGGGCCGGTTGGGGTCAGGCCGCGGTGGGTCCCGGGGGGACACGGGGCTCGGGCCGGCTGGGGTCAGGCCGCGGCGGGTCCCGGGGGGACACGGGGCTCGGGCCGGTTGGGGTCAGGCCGCGG